TTCATTGTTTAAATAATTTAATCTTAAATTACTAAAAGATTGAATAATATTTTTTGCAATAAATTTATTAACAGTTTTTCAACATATTAAAATCTTTATGATGCCTGATTGAAGCATCAAATTATTAAAATTGCTTGTCAATTTAATTCGCGATTATTAGAATAGTTTAATTGCGTTTATAATCCGGAAAAATTCGACGCGCCGTTCGAAAGATTAATTCAAGATTTAATTATTTAATCAATAAAGATGCAGTTTCGAGCGTTATAGGCATTTTAATTTCTAGTAAATAATTAAATTTAAAATAATAAAAATATTTTTATATTAATAAAATTTTCAAAATATTAAGTTTTAAGGTCGGCGGCATGTACATGCCAAGAGCGGCGACACATGCTTCGTTCCAATTCCATGTTTAGTTGATGTTTAAAAATAATTTATTTTGGCACCTCAGTATGCAATGGCGCACTGCTTAGCGGTATATCTTAGCGATGGCGTTTTGCTTAGCAGTATATCTTAGCGATGGTGCTCTGCTTAGCGATATATCTTAACGATGTTGCTCGAGGTAGAAAGAGTAAGCGCGTTTACTATGGTAGTTTCAGTTTCAGATTTTTGTCAAATTCTGAGAGCACGCATATTGTAAGATACACTTGTAATAAATTTAGTTTTTTTTTTGCAAGGTAAACGTATTTTTGCTCTACAAAGAGGAAATATTTCCTTTTTGATTATGCCACATGGCAATTGAGAAAGAATGCATATAATACATAGAATAAGACTGCCCAAGAGTGCGCACTTTTTCTTTGAGGCTGTAACTTGTACAAGAACAGATTTGTACAGTAAAATGGTGTTTAAATTATTCCTTATACTTTAAATTAAAAATTTGTCACGTCAATTTAATACTATCATTTACTTTTCCAGGAGACTAATTCTACTAAAAAGGGAAAAATGCGAATTCTTGAAGTGTCTTCTCAAGAGTTTGCATTATAAAAAAAGTGTGATTTATGAGAAAAGTAATGTTAATTAAAGTAAAAATTTATTTTTCATTAAACAGACATGTTTATAAGTACTTGAGTGTATTTTTATAAACAGAGTTCATACAAGTAAATTTTCGATTGACGAACAATCCCACACGCACAAATCGATGGGCCCAAAATCAACAGCTCTGGCACTGGATCCAATTTTCACCGAATTTAAAATTTGAATAGAGACTGTTAATTAAAATTATATTGTATTACCCACGATCGATGTCTACCAATGCTGTTCATGTGTAAACTCTTGAACTGTTCTTAAATGCGAACTCTTTTAATATAATTATATAAAAATTATTATAGATATTAAGTAAATATATCTCTTAATATGAAGCAGAGATATGCACGCACACAATATAAAAAATATAGATTCACAAAG